CATTGGTAAAGCAAATAAATAAATAAATATTAATAGTGTGGTTGTTGAGCAACAATACTTATAGCAACACTAAAGAATATTTTTAAAATGTACATATTTTTAATAAAAAATGGCACTTAACCTTTTTTTATACGCATCTATTTTACATGCTTTAATTGCGCAAGAATTGAATTTGTTTCCTTTGAAACAGTATATGAAAAACATTAGCGTTGCTAACACTTCTATGTTTCTTTGTCACCAAGATGACTCTAATTTTAAGCTGTGCAGTTGTGACGATTCCTGCTTTGCATCAAAAACCTGCTGCATCGATAAACTATGGAACAACACCAATCCATTACCGTTGGACATTTACCTAGAAATGTTAGTTAATAAGTCGAGTTCCTATAAAGACATGGTATGTGAAAAAATTATATCAGTACCCGTTGATTCAGGACACGAAAGTAGTGAAATTTTAATGGTGCATTCTTGCCAGGATGGAGCAGAAACAGAATTAGTGAAACTGTGTATAAACAGTTATGAGTATCATTATGCAAACAATGTTCCAGTAAAAGGTTCCGATAATGTTGTGTATAGAAATGCCGCTTGCGCACGTTGTAACTTTGCTGAACCTACAGCCATAAATCTTACGTTTGATTGTCTGCAAGAATCTCAACAAAAAAAGATACAAGTAAATGCATCATCACTCAAAGTCATTTGGATTTTTCAACAGAATAAAAATTGTACAGTGTCATTAAATAAAAAAAAAGAAACTAGCGACAACATTAGCAGTTGTACTTCTAACGTGATCAAGCACTGCCCAACAAGTAGTAAGCACTACGAGTTGTGCAAAGCATACTCAGGAACTTTCTTGAATTATAAAAATTATGATTGTTTTAAATGTTTCGAAAGTGATACGGTAGTATCAAATCAAAACACTACTACCTTTCAACTTTCTTATACTCCAATATGGTTAAATTATTCATTTCCATTGTTCCATGATACTTTAGAATGGGTTAATTACACTAAAAATTGGTTTAATTATACTACAGCATGGTTTAATGATAAAAAAGAATGGCTAAACTACACTTCTGTATTGTTTAACTATACTCAATCATGGTTTAACTATTCTAAAGTATGGTTCAATATTACTCCAGTATGGTTTAATTTTACTCCAGAATGGGTTAATAAAACAACACTATGGTCCAATTATAATATTTTTCTTAATAATAACAAAACAGAATGGTCTAACTACACATCAGAATTATTTAATTATACTAAAAAAATGTTTGACGACTCTCTTATGTACATTAGTAACATTACTTCAGTGGTTTCAACAATACCTATGGAAAATAGGATCTTACCAGTAGTAAATGGAAGCTTTTTATCTAAAACTGTGTCTTATATACAATATTTAGAAGTCACCAAACCCTATATTTCAGTTACTTGTTGTTGTGGATACACGTTGATTGGTTCTGAATGCAAAGATTTGCAACAAAAATTACCTTTTCTAGTTATCAATAATGCAAGCTTCGAAAATTGTTTATTCAGCAAACAGCCCGGTTTTTATGTCATTTCAAAAGATTTTCAATCATTAAGTTATATACATCATATTTTACCTGGCACAGTTTGTTTTCTTATTAAAGATGAAAATTTATCGAATTCAACTTTATTTCAATGTAACATGTCTATTCCTGCAATGCTGAGTTTAACAAACAATAAATCAATTTTCAACTCACTTTCTTCTGGTTCCTTAACATCGTTTATCACGTCAGTTTATAATCAGCTGAATACAGAATTATATAACTTTAATATTGGAAGATCCTTTACGCAAAACAAACTATGCGCACAACCAATGGAGTTTATCTATACGGAAGGTAATTTTACAAGCTCGTGCGATTATATTACAAAAAACAAAACAATTGAAAATGAAGATCTTGTTTTGTGGATTGAAGTTCATGGCAATCAAACCAAAAGAAAAATGAGCATATGCAAACAATTCCATTTAATATCTAATTGTGTATTGCGAAATCTGACCAACAACTATAAGATAGATAACCAGACATTAACTTACACGTACTTAAACAAAGAATACAGGTTTAATGCAGACCAGTTTGTACCTCTAAACAAAGGTGTGGGAATATGTGAATCAACATTGTTGAAACTCAAAAATAAAAATACTTTAGACGACGCTGAAAATCTTTTGTCGGTGATATTACTTATTGTTAGTATGGGATGCTATTTACTCATATTTACAACGTACATCTTGTTTAAAGAGCTGAGAATTAAGTCTAACTTAAATTTGATAACGCTTTGCGCATTTTTGATATTTTCTGATTTTTTTATATTTTTTGCAATTTTTCATAACAAGCAAAAGAATATATGTAAATACATAGCAATTGTTTTACATTGGAGTTTATTGGCAGGATACAACTGGGTACTGTGTATGGCAATTGAACTAGCATTAAAATTTCGTAGATTTGCTCCAACGTCATTAGGTCGTACAAACTCTTTTATCGCATCAATTTTTGTTTCTTTGATGGTTCCAACTTTAATTGTGTCTATTAATTTAGCATTAGATTTAACTGGAGCAGTTTATATTGGGTACGGGACAAACAATTACTGCTGGATCAGTAGATTTTACGCAAGAATATTTTCTTATATTTTACCGCTTTGCATTATTTTAGCTTTATCAGTTTTATGCTTAGTGTTAACTATTTGTAATATCAAGAGGCTTGAAAACGAAAGCAAAAAAACTTTAGGCGAGGGGAAAACGTCACGTGTAAACCTTGTGATGATTACAATGAAACTCGTATTAATTCTTGGTGTTACAGATGCATTTGGTTTTTTTCAAATTTCAAAACCATTATCTGAATGGGAGATATTATTTAATTCAATATTCTCTATGATTTACACATGCTGCCGATCTTCAAAAGGAATTATGCTTTTTTTTGTATATATTTACAAGAAAAAGGTATTTAGAGTCTACAAAAGATTTGCGGCGAAAACAATCATTAAATGGAGGAAATCATTACAAAACACAATTGTCATTAAAGAAACCAGTGGATTTACCGAATCAACATTTTGACCGGTAAAAATTTTATATACAGTTAGCAAAAAAAAAAAAAATGCTAGCTGTATATTAAACATATTTTTAAGTGAGCACTTTCGTTGATATTGACAGTGTTTGCAACGAATTGGAAACGAAATTTGTTTAATTAATTTGAATAATTATGCATTTTTTTTTTTGATTTGCGTATCACTTGATATTCATTCAAGTAAGTTTATATCTCCAACAAACACATGTATGATAAATGCATTAGTAGCGTTTTATAATACGTTAATTTTGTATTATATTATTTATAATTTATTTATATTTAAACTTTAATATAAAGTTCAATAAAAGTTGAATAAATTATAGGTTAAAATGGGAAATGAAAAAGTTGAATGAAAAACAAAAAATTAATAAACTAATATTATTATTTATTATATTTTTATTTTTTTGTTAAATCTGAAAAAAAATATTTAAATATGCCATTGCGTCCTTAAAATAGTTTAAGCATTTTGACTCAAACTTGTTAATCAATTAAAAAAGTAAAAAAAAAGAAAAAGATATTTGTTAAAACATTTTTTATGTTAATAACGGCAGTAGATACCAGTGGACACGGACGTAAAAAAGACGTCTTATCTTCAAAAGACGTTTTTTTTTTGTCCAGTGCCCACTGGGATTCATTCAAAGATTTTTAAAACTTGATAAATTGAAAAATATATCATAATTTCTTTAAGATTTAAAGAATAAGTATTCTGGTTCATGTTTTAATATATATATATATATATATATATATATATATATATATATATATATATATATATATATATATATATATATATATATATATATATATATATATATATATATTGTAGGTTATTTTGCATATATATTATGTGATTGTAGGGCTCGTTGTCAGAGTCCTTTATATTTTATGGACTTGCGAGTCCGCCAGGGTTAGGGTTAGAGTTAATGTACCAAATATGTACCACTGTTTTAATAATGGAACATGTACCACTGTTTTAATAAATTTTATTCTAATCTAATCTTAATATAATTAACATTCTTGGCGAGTTTTGGAAATTCTTTTATTTTTTATTTTTATAGTCTTCATTTTTCAAAATATCTTTTCTTTATTGTTCTTAATCATTATGATCATTATTTTTATTATCATTACCAAATCACACTCAACAATAGACATTATTTTTTGGCCTTTTTTGAAAAAATTTACTTCACGCTGGAGTACTTTCACTTGACCATAAAACTCTTATGCGCAAAACATAAAAGCTTTATATATTCCCGATTCAAGCTTACTTGTGCTAACAATGGCCAAATTATCATAAAAAACTTTGGTTGGTCGCATATAATACATATTTGAAACGAAATTGAGACTTTATTTTATGTACTGTCTATTTCTGTTTATTTAAAACATAGTAGAACAACTTGTGTCACGTTAAAAATAAATATAAATTTTTATAATGTTATGAAAAGTAAAAAAAAATATGTTATATAAAACTTATTTCTCCAAAAAATTATATTATATAAAACCATTTCTCCAAATAATTTTCAATTTGCATGCACAAAAATTAGATGTTCTCCATGTTCTGTAGTTAATCGGAACCGTGTCGATTCATAAATATATCCACCAATATAGAAAAAAGTACAGTACTGAAGTAAAGAACAGTACTGAAGAGAAAATTGCTTTAAATAAAAAAACTTTCTGTTATTCTTTACAATCAAAATGTTTCATTACATTTAAATTTTTTCCTGATGATTTAAAAATAGCAAAAATTATTCCCATATTTAAAAAAGGAGGAAAAACTAATATAAAACACTATCGTCCAATTTCCATCCTCTCTGTTTTTTCTAAAATTTTAGAAAGAATTTTGCACAACAGAATATACAATCACCTTTTAACAAACAAATTATTTTATAACATGCAATATGGATTCAAAAACAATAATTCAACAGAGCATGCAATTATTCAGCTTACAAGAAGTATATCAGACTCATTTAGCAATTCTAAATTTACATTGAGAATATTTATTGATTTAGCGAAAGCGTTTGATACAATTGATCATAAAGTTTTTATTAAAAAATTAGAATATTATGGTATAATAGGCAATGTTTTAAAATAGTTGAAAAGTAACTAATCGTAAACAATTTGTTTATGCTGATAAATCATTTTCATCAAATTTGTTAAATATTACATGTGGAGTTCCTCAAGGATCCATATTAGGACCTCTTCTTTTCCTTATTTATATTAATGATCTATACAAAGCCTCGAATTTAATAACAATTATGTTTGCTGACGACACTAATTTATTTTTGTCATAATTTTGTCACAAAAGCATTCCTACTTTATTTCATAACGTGAACATCGAGTAATAATAAAATCAAAATATCTGACTGGTTTAAGACAAACAAACTATCCCTTAACATTGATAAAACTAAATGGATTCTTTTCCATCTTCTTACCAAAAAACATATACTGTCAATTAACATGCCTCCACTTGTTATTGACAATATACAAATTAAAAAAGTAACAGTAACTAATTTTCTAGGCGTTTGTTTAGATGAAAATCTTATACGGAAAAATCACATTAAAAACTTATCAAGTAAAATTTCAAAAAGTATAGGAATATTGTACAAAAAGAGAAATGTCTTAAATAAACAAACTTTAGTACAATTATATCACTCATTTATTCATTGCCACATAAACTATGCAAACATTGCTTGGGGTAGTGCAAGTAAAAACAAACTTAAACCTCTTTATTGTCAGCAGAAGCATGTAGCACGTCTTATATATTTTAAAGACCGGCCAACAAAAAAATTTTTTTTTTTTGCTGCCGAGGATATTTTTACGAATTTATAGTATATCGGGTGTGCTGATTTCAGAAATGACATTAGTTTTCCACGATTGGCTCTAGTTCTTGAGATACAGGGTGTTCCAGATATATTCTTATACAAATATCTTCGTTCATGCATATTTTACAGTAAAATAGTTTTATTTCTTTTTAAAGGGCATACCTTTATATATATATATATATATATATATATATATATATATATATATATATATATATATATATATATATATATATATATATATATATATACTTTTTCCTGTTTTTAGAACACAATGAGTTCTTCACGAAGAGGATGTTTGAATAACCCCAATGCATTCTGCCACATCTGTGGTGAATATTGCCAGGAGAGCCAAAGAAGAAATATTACTAACTTTGTGAAGCAAGCATATCTGGCATACTTTGGAATGAAACTCGGAGACCAAGATAAGTCTTGGGCTCCCCATATTGTATGTAAAACGTGTGTCGAAAATCTACGTCAGTGGAAAAATGGACAAAGAAAAGGTTTAAAATTTGGTGTGCCTATGGTATGGCGGGAGCAAAAGAATCACGACAGTGACTGTTATTTTTGTTTGGTTAATGTGAAAGGTATGAATCGTTTCAAGAAACGTAAATTTGAATATCCGGATTTGGAATCAGCAAGGCGACCTGTACCACACTCAGACGATGTCCCCATTCCAGTGTTCACTACACTCCCAGATCTAACAGTGTCTGATGAAGAAGATATGCAGAATTTGGTGTGCGAACATGCAGATAGTGGTAGTGAATATGAAGACAGTACTTCTAAACAGCAACAGTTCTCCCAGGAAGAGATCAATGATTTAGTACGAGACTTAAGTCTATCCAAGCAAGATTCTGAGCTTTTAGCATCTAGACTAAGTGAAAAGAACAGTTTGAAGGCTGAATTTAAAATAACTTATTTTCGGACAAGAGAGGCAGCACTTCGTCCATATTTCATTCAAGAAGAAAAAATAGTATACTGTAGGAACATCCCTGGACTCCTCCTCCAAATGGGGTTACCTGAATACCGACCAGAAGATTGGCGATTGTTTATAGATAGTTCGATGAGAAGTTTGAAGTGTGTTTTATTGCACAATAGCAATAGTTATGCATCTATCCCAATACTTCACTCAACAAAACTGAAAGAGGAATATGAAAATATAAGAATGATGTTGCAGAAGCTTAGATACAATGAGCACCAGTGGTCTATATGTGTTGATTTAAAGATGGTAAACTTCTTACTAGGGCAGCAAAGTGGATATACTAAGTACCCTTGCTTCATATGTTTGTGGGATAGTAGGGCTAAAGAAGACCACTGGAAAAAGGTGGTATGGCCTGCAAGGGAAAATATGACTGTAGGTGCATCAAATATCATTAACGAACCACTGGGACAAATTATTTTCCCACCACTCCACATCAAACTAGGACTGATGAAGCAATTTGTAAGAGCCCTAGACAAAGATGGTCAATGTTTCAAATATATTTGCAGATTTTTTCCAGGCTTGAGTATGGAGAAAATCAAAGCTGGAATCTTTAGCGGCCCTCAAATTCGCCAAATCATCAAGGATGAGCAGTTCCTATATACAATGACAGATATTGAAGCATCTGCCTGGAAAAGTTTTGTCTTGGTTGTTCATAACTTTTTGGGCAACCATAAATCTCCCAACTATGAAGAAATCGTACAGAAAATGCTTTCAGACATTGAAAGCTAATATAAGCATAAAAGTTCACTTTCTACATAGACACTTAGATCGGTTTCCCGATAATCTAGGAAGCTATAGTGAGGAACAAGGGGAGAGGTTCCATCAAGATATCAAATTAATGGAAGAAAAATACCAAAGAAGATTGGATACACACATGATGGCTGACTATTGTTGGAGCCTTCAACGTGATTGTCCACATTCTCCACACAAAAGACAATCATACAGACACCGATTTTTAATGCATTAATTGTGATTTCATTGTACTGATTTGAATGTTTTGATCTATTAGCATTGTATTTACTTCCCCATAAACAATTTGATATATATATCTAGTGTTTTTTTTGTGAATTACGCTACAACCTAACATAAATTGTTGCTATTAATGTACTTTCGTGACCACCCTGTATCTCAAAAACTAGAGCCAATCTAGGAAAACGGAGGTCATATTCGGAATCAGGGCAACAAGTTACCTATAAAATGACCCCCAAATGTTTTGCCGCAAAATCTTTGTTGGCCAGTGTAATATATGCAATATATATATATATATATATATATATATATATATATATATATATATATATATATATATATATATATATATATATATATATATATATATATATATATTAAACCCTCAGAATTAGGAAGGTTGAGGTTGGCAATAATTTACAGACCTTAATCTTTTAGAGGTTGGCACAAGGTCGGCAA